CATACATACATACATACATACATACATACATACATACATACATACATACATACATACATACATACATACCATACATACATACATACATACATACATACATACATACATACATACATACATACATACATACATACATACATACATACATACATACATACATACATACATACATACATACATACATACATACATACATACATACATACATACATACATACATACATACATACATACATACATACATACATACATACATACATACATACATACATACATACATACATACATACATACATACATACATACATACATACATACATACATACATACATACATACATACATACATACCGTGGACCGTGGTGCTGGGCAACCGCGTTGTGGGGTAACCCGTTGCTCCCCAATACCGGCGAGGCAGACCGTGGTGCTGGGCAACCGCGTTGTGGGGTAACCGTTGCTCCCCAATACCGGCGAGGCAGACCCAGACAGTTTGAACCGCCGCCCGGGCCTGGAGACGCACTTCGTGGGGATCGCTACATGCAGGAAACTGCAAACGGTGGGCGACCTAGTGCGGGTCTGGGACCTAGTGGTGCATACTCGAGTGGCCTCCCTCCCCAGGTCGACCTGGCCCGAATGGGTCAGGACACACCTCGACCCATCAACCCCAGCACCCACGCGGGACAGGTCAGCGACCCTGGCAGCCCTTAAGACGCTACATGGCGCTATCAACCCGGCCTGGCTCGAAGCTGCAAGAGCAGTGGAAACCCAACAGCAACAGCAACCCCAGCCGCAGGCACAGCTGCAGCCACAGCCGCAGTCACAGCCACAGCCGCAGCCACAGCCGCAGCCACAGCCGCAGCCACAGCCGCAGCCACAGCCGCAGCTACAGCCGCAGCCTCAGCCTCAGCCACAGCCGCAGCCACAGCCGCAGGTACAGCCACAACAGCTGCAAACACAACCACAGCTACAGACACAGCATCAGCCGCAGCCGCAACAGCAGCAACAGCCGCAGCCACAGCTACAGACGCAGCCGCATGAGCAGCAACCCCAACAGCAGCAGCCAGAGATGCCAACGGCGGGGGACATGGCGGCTCCAAGCACCCCCAACAGCACTCAGGCGATGGCTATGATCCTAAAGCGGGTCGGATGGCAGATACCGGGCGGCACAACAACCGTCCCACTCACACGCCTGACGGTCCGCCTAGCGACACAGCTGCAATGCGGGGC